TGCCAGCTTTTTGAATGTCTGGTCCTAGTATTACCCTCAGGTCTCAGTTCAAATATCACCTCCTCAGAGAGGCTTTCTTGATCACCCTGTGTAATATATACCCCCCCCCCATTTTTCTCTCTTATGTTACTGTCTTTTTCTTTTATAGAGGTTTCTAGAATCTATATCTATTGATTTATTTGTTTATTATCTTATGTAAGCTCCTTAAACTTGGGGTCATATCAATCTTGTTTGACATGAGGGATTACTATAAATATGTGATACGAAAGTGAAAGATACATCAAGGACACTTTTGCTATCTATAGAGTCTAAAGCTAGAGCATATTATCATAAAAAATGAAACTGCAGATTGGGAACAGTTTATAGACAGTTTTGAATGCCAAGATAGGAGTATATATATTTTTGTTTTTGCAGGTAATATGCAGCTACAGAAGGTTTTTAGTAATGCTATTGACATAATTTATTCATTTATTCATTCTTTCTTTTATTAAATGTGCCAAGAACTGTTCTTTGATCTTGGGAAACAAAGATATCTAAGACATGTTTCCTGACCTCAAGAACCCTGCAGAGAGCTGCACTGGGAAACACATGACTTAATACAGTGGGATGAGTGTTACTTAGAATTTTATTCATAATGTTATTCAAACACTTATTAACACTGACTCTGGGCTGATCAGAGCTATTTTTTAGAACTTTGAACAGTAGTTTTAATAGCTGTTGCTAAAAAGTATGAGCCAATTTTACCAAGAGTGGAGCTTGGTAAAGGTCTCATATGGTACCTAAATCTTTCCTCCATCCTTTCCTTTCCTCGTGTTTTAAAATGTGCCAGAATGTCTCAGCTTTCCAGGGAAGGTAACAGCGCACCTGCGCTTACATCTGGGTCTGGGTGTGGGCCTGCGCCTGCGCGGTGCCCCTTCTGCAGGGGCCAGGTGGCCCACCTAGCAGGTGGCCAGGTGCAAAGACTCTACCTGGGTTAGGCCCTGGCGCCCGGACAGTTTCCATCACAGCTGTTACACTCATGGTTATATGAGCCACTGCTCCCGCTGTGCGCTCAGGACGGTTCCCTAATAGCACTCAGCCTCCCTCCTGGACGCCGGCTCGCTTACTCACGGTGAGTGATAGGCTGTGGAACTTTCTGGAGTGTGGTCTCCGTCTTCAACCTGACATTCCAGCTGCATGACTCCTTTTCATCTCAACCTGTCAGTCCCTTGTTCTGTCTCCGTGTAGAAATCCTTGTGTGTGTGTCTGGGCGCAATCCATCCTTTTATTGCCAGGAGCATCTTTGCAAAACTCAGGAGTGAAAGTTTTATATTTAGGAAAGAGGTTTCTGTCAGGTTCAAACCCTCAGAATCGTTCAAGTCCTAATGCCAGTGGATACATGGATTGAGTGAGAGGAAGGTAATTACTCTTACGAATACAATACAATTGACCCTTGAGCGACATGGGGGTTATAGGCACCCTCCCCAGTCAGAAATCCCCATATAACTTTTGACTCCCCCAAACTTAGCTACTGTATTGAAAAATTTCTGTATATAAGTGGATCCAAGCAGTTCAAACCCATGTAGTTCAGGGGTGAACAGTAATCACAAATTAGACTCTGGCCCAACCAAGATGCCCAACATACCTTATTGCAAACATTAACTATTTTCATTTTGATTATGACTGAATATATCTGTTCTTAAATCTCATATATTCATTAGTGGAATATAAAGATATCCAAAATTAGTTACTAGAATGATGATTTAAAAAATTTAACGTGATTACTTTGTTTATTATGATGGTATGAGCCATCTCCTAAAGGTAATGTAAGAATGCTTCAGTTTATTTTAAAAGAAAAAAAACCACAAACCCACAGAAACTTTCCATCCAATTTGAAAAGTTTAAAAAAAAAAAGAGTGCATGAGGTCTTCAGAAGTTTCAGGATGGAAATTGCTGTGGCTTTAAAGCTGTTAACCTGATCTGATGTTGCTCTGAGTGCCCAGGCCTTCTGCGTGACAAGAATAATCTAGTCGGTACTTGTATTTATCTTTTTTTCTATTTTTTCATAGCTTTTGTAATGTACAATGAATACAAATAGAACACAACACATCTCTTTTACAGAAGCAAGATCCAAAATGTTTTAAATTGCATTCTACTGATCTATAACTGGGGCTTAATTGAACCCTCCATTGCTTTACCACAATAGAGGAATGACCTCTAAAATAATAATTGATTAAAATAAGCCAGGCAGAGAAAGATGAACACCCATGATCTCACTTATATGTGGAATCTAAAGAACTTAACTGATGAACAGAATAGATTCAATGACATGGAAGCATGAATCAGACTGACGAATCTCAGAAGGAAGGAGGGGGGTGGATGAGGGGAGAGATTAACCAAAGAATTTATATGCATATATGCACAACCCAAGGACATGGACAATGGTGGGGAGAGGGACTGGGGAGGGGGAAGGAAC